TGTTCTCCGGCGTCGGCCTCAGGCACCCGCTCACCGGTCTTGCTGCCCTATTTCCCTAGTATCCAGGACCCCACTCATGCACTGTGTCTACGCTCTGGTCTGGATGGCTGGGGCTGGGTGTTCAGCAGTCCTGGGCTCCTTCTCCCTCCCTGCTGACTCCTCTCCTCCCACCAGGAGCTGGGGGGAGGGGCGCTCGGGACCTGCTGCACTGGGGTTTGTATCTTACCCCCTTCGCAGGCGCTGGGTTCTCGCAGGTGTGGATATGGTCTGGATGTTGTCCTGTGTCCTCTGGTCTCTATTTTAGGAAGAGTTGTCTTATGTTTTCATAGATAAATGTGGTTTTGGGAGGAGATTTCTGCTGCTCCGCTCACGCCGCCATCTTGGCTCTGCCCCCTAAATAGAAACTTTGATTTATGAAATATGTGCATAGATTCATAGGAAGTTGCATAAATTGTAGAGATCCCCCTATGTACCCTGATCTCCCGATGTTACATCTTAGTAGTACAGTTACCAAAACCAGGAAATTGGTATTGTTTCAGTGTGAAGGAATAAACAGCCCACCAAAGTGGTATGAAAATTACTCTAAACTGAAAACATCTGAACAGTCAGCTGCCAGAAGAAATAAATATGTTTTAAACTTGAAAGGACAGTCTTGAAAATACATCTGTACCTATAAAGAAACTGTCTTTTCTTTTATTAATCTGTCTGTTGTTAATTTCTAGTCACCCCACCATCCAACATTCAAACCTGAGTGGGTAGAGGAAAAGTTTTCTTTCCAAGCAATGTACATACACATGTAGTTCTATGGTATTTTATCACCAGTAGATTTGTGTAGCTTTGTGTATGCTCAAGGTCCAGATTAACACATTGGCACAGATCTCCCTTATTGAAATGTTATCTATAACAACAAAAGGAATTCTGTTACACAATTCTAGCAAGTAGAGAGATGCTCTGTTGAGCTGAAGAAGAGGAAAGATCTTTAAAGGTAGAGTGAAGGAGAAAAGAGCAAATTTTTAGCATAGAATCCATTGTTTTAGGGAAGATTGCCCTCCTAATTGGCACAGATGGAGTCTTTCAGGAAATTTCTTACTGCTGACTAGGAGATTCCATGTTGACTGATAAAGGTTAAATGGGGGTGTGTGGGCCTGAGACTGCAGTTAGGTTAGGTATTAAGTCTTGGTTTGCTGACATAGGGCCATTACATGATTGGCTGCATCTTTGGGCCTGTGGTTTTCTTTTTAACAAATCAGTGGGAACATCTTTTATTATAATATTTGGTCTCTTGTCCTCAGTTCCTGAAACTGCTTCAGAGCCTTAAAGGTGAAGTGGGCATGTTGTTATTCATAATGAACCTCTTCAACCACACTTCAGTTTGCGTTAACGAGGTAACTTGTGGAAAGTATCTAAGGATCGGGCTGGTTGCTAGGGCTCCAACCACGTGATTAGAGAGCTGGAACTTTCTGTCCCACTGTCCAATCTCCAGGAGTGGGGAAAGGCAGGAGGTTGAATCAGTCCCCAATGGCCAGTGCTTTAGTCAATCATGCTTATATAATGAAGCCTCTATAAAAACCCAATGGACAGGGTTTGGAGAGCTTTCAGGTCGGTGAACATGGCAGGGTGCTGGGAGAGGGCGTGCTAGCTCACCCTTTTCCATACCTCGCCCTGTGCATTTCTTCATCAGCTGTTCCTGAGTATGTCCTTTCCTAATAAACCAGTAATCCAGTAAGTAAAATGTTCCTCCGAGTTCTGTGAGCTGCTCTAGCAAATTAAACCAACTCAAAGAGGGGGTACTGGGAACCTCCAGTCTGTAGCCAGTGGGTCTGAAGCACAGGTGACATCCTGGGTTTGTGACAGTTGGGGGCAAGGGGTGGTCTTGTGACACTGAGCCCTGAACTTGTGATCTAATGCTATCTCCAGGGAGGTAGTATCAGAATTGAGTTGAATTGCAGGACACCCAACTGGTGTCGGAGAATTGCTTTTTGGTGTGGGGGGAACCCCACAGGTTGGAATTGGTCCCAGAATCATTACAAGTGAATCACATACCCACACTGAAGGGGATGGGGAGGAAAGAAGTTTCAGAAACCGTGCTTTGGCTGGATACTGCAAGGCTAAAGACAAAAAAACTGGATGCAAGCACTGTGCTCTGATGTGTTTCTCATAGTGATGTGGGTTAGCATTCTGAGACTCTTTTGTATGTGTTCCATCTGGAATGAAATCAAAGTATGAAAAATACACACATTAATGCATACATGCCATAAAGAGAGCTGGGGGCCACATTTGGTGGGAACCAATGAACATAAGGATTTAGGGTAAAGGTCTCTTGTATTACATCTAAACATTTCTTTTGGAAAAGCTCAGCTTCTTTCATGTGTCTGTCTTTGTGTCTTTCAAACATTGTAAACACTTCCAGATTGGAAGCACTTCAAGAATGTTGACCTCCATTAAACTGGAACACAGAGAATATGACTAATATAATGACTAACATAGTGGCTAAATTAGCGAGTTTAGCAAAAGATTTACCAGACTGTTCAGTCAGGTGTTAACCTTTTTTTATGCCATTGGTGAAAGATATTCAACAGTGTAAAGTTCGAAATGTCTTAAAATGCATAAAATAATGTATATTGAATGTAATATATATTGTAATCCTGTAAATTGGATTACAAAGGAAATCAATTATAATTAAAGTTGTAAAAAATGTTTAATTGTGATATAGTAAAACATGCTTTTAAACAAGACTTGGCAGCAATTCAAATACCTACATAATTTTGAAGTAGTGGTGAGTACCAAGAATATCTCAAAATACTTGCACCAACTGTATTTGATATAAAAACATTGTAACTTCTTTGGGTAAGAGACACAGATAATTCCTAATACTACTGTCACTCTTGCCTGTATTCATAATTGAGGGAAATGCTACATTTCAGTTAGACGTTAGTGAAATAAAGATAACACTCTTGTCCCCCCTCCAAGTTCATGGGCTTTATTGTTCTGTCCACCAGAGGTTACAGACCCCAAGTTTGATCATTGGTACTTCTAAGTGCAACAAAACTGGTCAGTTGAGTAGGAAATAGATCAGACTGAAGCTCTGAAAAGTGTTTGGCAAGTCATAAATAACCATTATTCCATTGAAGTAGTGATTGCTGCTATTACAAAAAAATGTGATGGTGTGGTACAGTGGGTTATAACTGTGGAAAATCATTTTGATGGACTGGACACCAAAGCTGCAGAGGCTGAAGTCAACACCGAAGGGCAAGGGGCAGTTGAAATTGTCATCAAAATCTTGGGCTATGTGGTTAAAGGCCGGGAAAGGCAATGATTCCTTTATTAAAGACTGTCATATTAAGGGGAATTTTTTTTTTTGCCAAAAAATATACGTAATAGCTTTCAGAGCTTTGGTTAAAAAGGGATCCCATTCCCTTAGCATGTAGCCACTGTATTTTATAACGAGCATCTTCAGTAATGTCACCTTACATTTGTGTACCACTTCATACTTTTTAAAGTACAATTTCCTGTGTTACCTCGTGAGTCTATTGATATGTGGTGAACAGTCATACTCTTTGTCAGAAGCAGTACTTAAACTAAGGGGATCACTTATGTCAGTGGTAAAAAATGGGGCTTCTTAAGTTTCTCAGTGGAAGACTTTCTGTTAAAGATAAACTCAGGTGCAAAGGTGATCATTGACTCAGAGACAATTCCATCTTGGGCCCACTAAAGTAAATAAAAGCTCCTCTGGAAATAAAAACCATAAGCAATGTGTTGGGGTTTTTGAAATGTAATAGGCAACTTTCATGATCATTTTGTGAAGACTGGTTGGCTTGTTCTTCCTTTCGTTTAAATATGCATTGAGGGTCCATCCCATCTGTGGCCCTACTATCAGCCATTGGAGCAAAACTGCGCCTACACTCCCTCCCTTCTCCCAGGCTCTGCCTTCGGGCTCCCTGCTACTCAGCAGCGCCCCTCCCTTCGCGAGCCCCTTGGCCCTTCATGACCTCCCTCATCCCTCCCTACCCTTTTTAAATTCTTCCATCAGGAGGAAAGCAGTATCTTGTGTACCCCCTTCCTTCGTTCTTGGCCAAAGTTCCTGTCCAACTCTGTCTTTTGACGAGAAAAAGATATTCTAGCAGCTTTGCCCTAAACTGTCTCCTAATTTTGAAAACAAAAGAAAATTAACTAGTAAAACAGACACACACATTTTTCTTCTGACTGGCCAATGTTTCTTCTACCCAGGTGAATTCGGAGCAGAATACCTCACTTCTAGGCACATAAGTACCGAGACTGACCAATACATAGGAAAGATTAACAATGGTTTTGAACGTAGTGACCCTTGTTTCTTTTTTTTTCTTTTTGTCCCTGTATATTAAAAACTATTGTGAATTATATTGCATGTCACTACTTTTGTACTTAGTCCTGCAAAGCTTGGCTTTGTTTCCTACCTGTTGCATAAGCTGTGTCTTGGCATCCTGACTAGATCGTAAATTCACAAGCTGGCTAATTTTATTTGCCTTCATACCAGCCACATGCTCTCAGGCAACTGGCAGATGCTTACTCAGTATATTCTCTAAATTCTTGTTGAACAAAACGAAAAAAGTAACTCTTCTTTAAAAAAATTTTTGAGGTATAACTTACATACTATAAAATTCGCTCTTCCTGAGGGTGTGATACAATGATTTTTGGTTAATCTGCAGTCATGCAACCATCACCACAATCCGATTTCAGAACATTTCCATCACTCCACAAGATTACCTGCCCTAATGCAGTCGTTCACTTCTCACCCACCCCAGCCCCACACATGCACTACTCTGCTTTCTGGATGGATTCGCCTTCTCTGGAAATTTCATGTAAATAGTACAAATTTTATGTGATTTTTTTGTAGCTGGCTGCTTTAACTTAGCATGATTTTAGGTTTAAGAAAAGACTAATAACTTGTTTCTCCTATGCTAGAATTCTACAACACAGAAAGGGAGAGCAGGCATTTAAAATTGTATTGTTTCTTTTCTCAGTAAATCCATTGCTGAGGCAAGTTGAAGGTTTTGGGACACAGCAAAAGGGAGACACAATAATGACAAGTAAGGGCAACCTACAGGTTAACTGTGTTACTGCCACCGCGACCACTTGTTAGGACCACCACTAAGCATCTTAGGAGTTGTAGCCGAAATAGTTGTTAATATTTATTGTGCTCTTACTACAGCGTAGATGCTATGCTTAAACCCTTTATGTGGATTGTCTCATTAATCCTCACAGAACTCTAAGAGATTGTAAGACTATAGGAGGTTTTAACTGAGAGTTTAGAAATCACTTACCCAAGATCACATAGCCAGTAATTACCAAATGCTAGGATTTGAAGCCAGTTCTTTCAGACTCCAAAGCCTATTTTCTTAACCCTGTATGCTGCACTGTCTCTTACTAAAGAGAAGCTGAAAAAATGAAACTGGCCGTAGAAACAGAAAAGGCTGGCAGCCATTCAGGGTAGGGCAGGTCCTCCCCTCCAGGAGGGACCCTTACAGTGAGTGGTCACTCAGCCTGGTTATATTCAGGGTTCCCTAATTGAAGAAGTCAGTGAAATGCAACGTTTTAAGAATGAGTTCCTAGAAGGGACTAGTGGTTACCAAAGGGAAGGGGTTGGGGAGGGAGGGAGGGAGAAGGAGATTAAGGGGCTTTATAATTAGCACTCACAATATGGGTAGGTGACAGGGAAGGCACTACCGCCTGAAGACATCTAATGACTCTGTAGCATGTTACTACAGTGATGGATAGTGATTGCATTTGGGGGGGACTTGATAACATGGGTGAATGTCGAAACCACAATGTTGCTCATGTGAAACCTTCATAAGATTTTATATCAGTGATACCTTAATTTTTAAAAAATGTGTTCCATCTAGGAAGTTCTGTTTCTTTGAAAGTAAAAAGTTAATTATCTGGGAGATTTGTTTCTTTCGAAGAGCTTATTGCTGGATAAAGGAGATATATGTTACCAAACCAGTTTTGTTCACAAGACAGTGAGTTTTAAAATGTGCCAGGTTAAGCTCTTTTATTTCAGTGATAATACGATGTAAGAATGGGTTATAAACTTATTCCCAAGGAAACTAACATTCAAATACTTCCCTTACCTTTTGTATGTGTGTTCCCCATTCAATGGGGACGGTCCCTATAGCTAAGAAGAAACTTCCTAACTTGCCTGTCTTCTTGGAAGACTCCTCCTTGTGTCCTGCAATCTTCCCAGTCAGAAGCTCTACTCAGTGTACCAAATAATGGGGTCCCCTGTGCCCCTCTGCAAACATTTACAGAGGAGGAGATGATGATAAAAAGGACAGGTGAGTAAACTGCTAAGTTTCCCCCATTATTCCTATGCCTTGATTTGGGTCTACAGAATGAAATTATGTGACATAGGACATGTTTGGGGAACATATTCATCTAAATTTATGAATGGAATTTTTTGACATTAATTTTTTTTTAATTTTGAAAAAAGTGATACATGTCATATAAATAAAATAAAGACTTAATTGGGGTTTTTTTCCCTACAGTTACAAAATTTGCCCAAGAACAACTTGCTCCTTTGGTTTCAACAATGGATGAAAATTCAAAAATGGAGAAATCAATAATACAAGGATTATTTCAACAAGGGGTATATAACAGAATTCTTCTCATTTCAAGCTTTTATATATATCTTCCAGTGTTAAAATATGTGCATACTTTTAAATTTAGGAACTCTAAGGACAGTATAATGAAGTGTTTAATCCCTAGTCAAAATTATCTGTGTTCTCTTTTAGATCAAGATCCCAGTTAAAGATTTTTTTAATTGGTTTAACGTTTTAAATTAGAAATACTGTGTTTTAAGCAAAAGATTAGAAGCAAGAGAGAGAATCCTTATCTCTGAGCTGCCTTAGACCAGTGGTACTCAACTGGGGGCTATTTTGTCACCCAAGAGACATTTGGCGGTGTCTCGAGACATTTATGATTGTCACAACTGGGGGTGCTACTAGCGTGTAGTGGGATAGAGGCCAGGAATGTGCTAAGTGTCCCACAGGACAGCCACCGATGACACAGAATTGTCCAGCTCCCTAATGCTGAGTTAAGAAACCTGACCTCGTTACTAAGACTTTAGGTTAGAGCATATATTCTACCCAAACCCCTTTGGTCTTTAAATAATATTATTTCCATCCTTCTATTAACTTTGGGCTTTCTTTGTTCTTCTAATTCTTTTAGTTATAAGGTTAGACTGTTTGAGTGTTTTGTTTGTTTTGTATTTGGACATAGGCTTGTATCTCTATTAACTTCCCTCTGAGAACTACTTTCCTGAATCCCAAATTTCGAACTGTTGTGTTTCCATTTTTATTTGCTTCCAGGTATTGGTCTGATTTCCCATTGGCATGATGGTTAGCCTCCACGTGTGTACAGGTTTTCCAGCTTTTTATTTAGAATTGATTTCTGGTTTCATTTGTTGTGGTTAGAAAAGATCCTTGATATATTTAGTCCTTTTAAATTTATTGACATTTCTTTTGTGGCCTAAAATGTGATCTCTCCTGGGACATGGTCCATGTGCACTTGAAAACAATGTGTATTCTGCTGGTTTGGTGTGGACGGTTCTGTGTATGTCTGTGAAGTCCATCTGGCCTAATGTGTCATTCAAAGCCACTATTTCCTGATTGATTTTCTGTCTGGATGATATATCCATTGATGTAAGAAGTGTGTTAAAATCTCCTACTCTTAATTGTATTGCCCTCAATTTCTTCTTTTATGTATATTAATACTCTATTTATTTAGGTGCTCTTATGTTGGGTGCATAGATATTTACAATTGCTATATCCTCTTGTTGGACTGATTGCTTTATGTAATGTCCCTCTTCGTCTCATGTTGTTTCAGTCTTTATTTTAAAGTCTACTTTTTCTGATAAAAGTATGCCTACCCCAGCTTTATTTATTTAGTTTTTTGCTTCCTTTTGGATGCAATGCCTTTTTCCACCCCTTCACTTTCATTCTGTATGTGTCTTAAGGTCTTAAGTGGATTTTTTTGTGGCAGCATAGGTGGGTCTTGTTCTTTAACCACTCAGTCACCCTCTATCTTTCGACTGGAGCATTTACTCCATTTACATTTAGAGTAATCATTGATAGGTATGTACTTACTGTCATTTTGTTCATTGTTTTTGTAGATCTTTTCTATTCCTTCCCTTGCTCTCTTGTGATTTGATGACTTTCTGTGTGTTATGCTTGGATTTCTTTCTCGTCTTTTTGTGTATCTGTTACAGGTTTTCGGCTCTGGTTACCATGAGTTCATATGTACCATCCTGTGTGTTCAGCAGTCAATATTAAATTGATGGTTGTTGAAGTTTGAACACATTCTAATGGCACAAAGTTTTTATTTCCCCCCCTGCATGTGTTATGTACATGATGTCATATTTTGTGTATCCCTTCACTAAGTTTTGTAGATATAATTGATTTTACTACTTGTATCTTCCACCCTACATGCCTGCTTTATAAGTGATAAATCTACCTTTGCTGTATGTTTGCTTCTACCTATGAAATTCTTCCCTTTGATAATTTTCTCCTCTAATTAGGACCTTTATTTTTCCACTTAAAGAAGTCCCTTTAATATTTCTTGTAAGGCTGGATTAGAGGATGAACTCCTTTAACTTGTATTAATCTGGGAAACTGATAACCTTCGCCAGGTAGGGTATCTTGGCTGTAAGTTTTTTTTTTTTCATTTCACACCCTGAATATCAGGCTCCTCCTCTCAGGCCTGCAGAGGTTCTGCTGAAAAATCAGCCGATAGTTTTTTGTGGTTTCCTTTGTATGACTGTTTGCTTTGTTCTTGCTGCCTGTATCGTTCTCTTAATCTTTAATTTTTGCCATTTTAATTGTCGTATGTCTCGGTGTGGTCTGTACCTGTGGAAGATGCGTTCTGCCAGTTTTCAGGTTGTTTTCAGAGGGAGTTGCTTTACATACACCTGTTGCCTTGGTGTGTTGGTGGAAGAGCTCAGGACCCTCCTACTTTGCCATCTTCCCTGCTCCGTCCTGGAAATTCACAAATGCTGCTCTCAAAACCCTGCTATGTCAACTGCATGGAGTGAAAAAGGGAAGATTCCATGTCATACACAGTCTGCATATGAAAGATGGTCTGTGGGTTGCAGCACACCACTGAGTCACACACGCGGGCTGGGGGAAGATTCCTGGTTCTTGAAGGGGAAACAGCCCACTTGTGAAGTCATTCTTTTGTACCCTGAAATAAGTAGCCCCCCATCATGAGAGAAACCAAAGGTATCTCCTGACATGGACATTGGACAGAAATGCTTGAGGGCCAGGGACATTATTAAAGAGGTTATACACAAATGTCACCTACCAACCAGCAGTTGCACCCACTCTCCCTATCCTTACCTATACCCCACCCTGCTGTTCCTCCCGGAGACAGTGGGGTACCCAGATGTCCTAGAAGTTGACTACAGAATCATTAGTTAGTGAAGAGTAAATTTAAAATGTCCTTTTATTGGGAAAGGTCTGTTATTGATTATTTTTGTTACTTGTAACATAGCAAAACAGCCATACCAAATTAAAATGCACATATGACATTTTTAAATTAAAAATGTATATAGTGACAATTTATTTTTTGAACTTGTTCTTGCAAGAAATTTCTCTGTAAAAAAAGTAACTGTCTTGGTCTATGTTTCCTTATTTTTCCTTTAGTTGATGGGTATTGAAATTGACCCAAAATATGGTGGAACAGGAGCTTCATTTTTTTCCTCTATCCTAGTGATAGAGGAATTAGCCAAAGTTGATGCATCTGTGTCTCTGTTATGTGACATCCAGAACACAGTAATTAACAAGTTAATCAGAAAACATGGAACAGAGGAACAAAAGGCTACCTATTTGACCAAGCTAGCTACAGAAAAAGTAAGTTGACATGAGTTGTTAAAATGGATCTGATCTTTTTTAAATTAGGATATTTTTGGTGAAAAGTAGCTACAGTGTGACTTTACTATCCAAGACCACAGTGCAGCACCACTAGTTAATCAAGCAACGCTCAATAAATTAATGTTACTAGAAAAATACAATACACCCTGCCTCTCATTGGCCACTTGGAAATTTACAGAATAATCATCCGACAATAAAATTATGTTTTTGTCTGTTATAGTTTCTGATACCTTTGTGGTTTCATTTACATTGAGATGTCTTTCTACTGCAGTTAATAGACTCAAATTAATTAACCTTAAGCGTGAGTGTGTGTGCACAAGTCTTTAAATCTTAGACAAATCATAGGATGTATTTTTGGGAAATAATACTGTGAGAGTACTATTCCTATTTTGATAAGTACAGGCTCTGAAAAGTAGCTAAAAGTTTGATTTACAGGTGTTTGTTTGGACATTAGTATTTATTATGCAGAGCGTATACAGTTATTCATTTGAAATTGTTTTTCCTTACATGAATAGGTAGGAAGTTTCTGCCTTTCAGAGGCCGGAGCAGGTAGTGATCCATTTTCTCTGAAGACCAGAGCTGATAAAAAGGGAAATTATTATGTCATCAACGGGTCCAAAATGTGGGTTAGCGGGGCCGAGCACGCAGAGCTCTTCCTGGTGATGGCGAATGTGGACCCCACCGTTGTAAGTTTGAAAACAAAATGTCTTCCCTCTCACCCCCTCATCTTTTCTCTTTATCTATCTTTTCCCTACTTCCATTTCCTTTTTAGTACTTAGTCTTAAATTCTTCATTCTCCTCAGTACTGAAAGTGACCACTGACATCTTTTTATCCTCTTATTTTCTAATCTCCTAAAATAAAGACTGTTGGTGTAATCATTAATTACTTGGAGGCCATTTATTGATTGTTCCCTAATTTGTTGCATAAGAAATTAATCTTCAGTTTATAGAATTTAAAATTTCCTATTTACTAATGAAGACTTTAATTATTCCATTTATATTTAAGAATATTCATTTGGAAAATAGGTCTATAGCAACATGGTAAATACATTTTATCTTTTGTCTTTTCTCTAACATAACATTTAATTAAACTTTGAAACTTTAAAATACTTAATAAAATTAAAGCATGGAATTCTTATGATCACATAATACATTAATATGACTGAGTAACTTTAATAGCCAAAATGTTTTTTGAAAAATCAAAAGAAATAGTCAAGTTCTTATTTTGAATCAAATGCCCTCAAATCATTCTTTTTTCATAATGTGCATGGTGCATATCTAGTCTATTGGTGTTAATTGCTAAAAGTTCATTTTAGTTTTCCATTTACTTTGAACCCTTTGGAAACAAGGGATCTTATCAATGCAAGTGGTAATAGCATTTTAAATCATCTTTTTAGGGCTATAAGGGAATTACCTGCTTCTTAGTAGATCGAGATACTGAAGGCCTTCACATAGGGAAAGCAGAAAACAAGATGGGGATCAGAGCTTCTTCTACCTGCCCGTTAACATTTGAAAATCTCAAGGTGGGTATCTGAGATGCTCTGGTAAAAGACTGGTGTGAAATCAGCCTTGCTGGGTGGGTTGTGCAAGAAAGACGCCAAAATAGAGAAAGTGTGGGGGAGTATTTTGTGAAACTCCTGAGCAGCTTCTTAGATTAGGTCCTGACTAAAAGCCCTTTTCACAAGAGGTTACGCAAACAGTGGAAACGTTTCTGCTCAGCCGCTGACGTCAAGAGCCAATGCTGAGAATTAACCCTTTTTATGCTTTATAATTTATATGCTTGTGAACCACGTAAAGCTTACAGACTTGATACTCGTGAACCAAAAGCACGGCTTCAGAGAAGGCAGTGAAGTGTCAGTTTAACTAAGGCCACGAGGTGGCGCTGTTGCTCTGGGCGAGCGGGAACCACCAGGCAGCGCCCAGTTTAGGTTGCGTGAGTTACAGAGCAGGAACAGAAGATGACCTGACCGTGATGCTCCAGGACTTGGTGTAGTGGACAGGTTGTGATGGACTCCCACCAGCCACATTAGGCCGTGGTCTGTGTGCCCCTGGGCGAGTGTGTGTGCTTATGGCGCATCATTGCAGATGTCGTTTGAGCCCCAACCATCTTCCTTCTCCCTGCTTCCCCTTTTCTTTCTCCATGCTGTCTCTGTCCCCTCACTGCCCATGGTACGAAGCTAAGTGTAATTTTTTAATTTTCTCTAGTCTAGATTTTTTTTAATTATGAGTAAACATTTTAATCTGTTTCTTTTCTGCTTTCTCACGTGAACACATATCCTCCGGTGATTTTTATGTGGATAATAGCCTAAACAGAAGAAAGGTTTACTACCCTTATTTAGCAAGTAGTTATATATTTTCTGTAATTCCTAATGTGTCATACCGTAGCATGCAGATAATGAATTGTGATTCATTTATGTTTTTGGTGAGTTGTACACAATTCCCCTTTCTGAGTTCATTCATTCTTTCAACAAAAGTGTGTGCAAGGCTCTGAAGTGAACAGCATGGATTGGAGTCCAGTGGGAAACAATTTAGAGGGAGACACAGGCATCACTGGCAGCTTCCTTAGACTTTGATTAAAGTACTGTGCCAGAGTAATGTCACACAACTTGGGAGCTTTTTAAAATACATAAGCAAAATGAATTATGTCAAAATAAATTGAGAAATAACTGTACATTTTTGTTTTCAGGTTCCAGAAGCCAATATCCTGGGGCAAATTGGACATGGCTATAAGTATGCCATGGGGAGTCTTAATGAAGGTAGAATAGGAGTCGCAGCACAGGTTAGTCACAGTTTAGCCATTTAACTTGACTCATCCCCGAGTGGGTCAATTAAAATGTAAAAACAATGCAAACGGTTGTGTATTTGGAAGCTTGTGGACACAAGATGGCGCTCTTTCCCTCCATGAAGTGAAAGCTTCTGACTGGTTTCTTTAAAATTCCACTTTAGTCAATTACGTAATGTTCTGAGAACCAAACAGTGGCTTCGTGGTAACAGTGTCTCTACACTTGAGGACATTAAAGTTTTATCCAATATGTAGATCGATAACTTCTAAAAGATGTTGTAATAAAACCTGCCATTTTTCTAAAAATCAAGTTCATAGCACATGAAATTCTGGAAGAAATTTTTTTAATTAAGGATAAATAATGTTCTTTGTAGTAAGAATCTTTACAGCTAGTGAAAGACTTGTCACTGTTTTATATGTGAAAATCAGGCAGTTTTCTGTATGTCACACTTGAAATAAAATAACAATTAATAGATAAATAAGATGAGAACTCTTCAATTTCTTAACAAATTTGCCCTTCATAATGCATACTACATTTTTCTATTAAATGTTATCAGTTATTCTTCTAGATTAACAAAATGAGCAAAGGCTTTGATTTTGTTATAAATTGTGTCATTTTTTATGAATATATTTATTTTTAATCAGTGAGTATTCAAAATTCAGAAACATAGCTTTGGGATGTTGAAGATGTTTCATAGATAATAGTTTTTGAAATAGTTAAATGTTGTAGTGTTTCTATAGATTTTTTTTTCCTGCTGTTAATTTGCTAACAAAATACTCTTAGATCAAAACTTAATCCGTGTTTCCCGCAAAGCTAGACAGTATGTTACTAAAGAGAATTGGCTTACCTATTCTTTTTCCTGTGGTTCACCTTCATCAAGTATGGCATTAGAAACTACAGTTCTAGATCTCCTTGTTCTCACATATATGAAGAATATAGGTGTTCTGGCAGTAAAATACACAGGCTGGGCTTCTGTTTAATTGCCCCAAGTCATCTTATAACCTAACTAAAAGGTAAGGTCAGGTAGTTATTATTTCTTGGTTATGACTGTAGATGCCTTGTGGAGAAAGAGGCACGTACAACAGTGAAGTGAAGGCATCCATCCTCAAAACTCTGCAGTAGAAGAGAATTTAGTTTTTCAGTATTTATAATGAAAACATTGCATGGAGTTGGATAAAACTACTTTGATCAACAACTGATCATTTCAGTTTTCACGTCAGCATAGGATCTCCTTAGCTTACTACGAACTTCAGTTACAGGAATACAATCATCATCTTACCCCACAGCCGAAAGTGCACTGAATTGCTGCGTCGCTTTATTTTCCTTTAATTTTTGGCATAACATTCTGTTCTCCAGAAAGCTCAAAATAAAAAGGCTAAAGAAAAATGTGAATGAACACTAATGAAGTATTGATAAATTTGTGGGCAATCTCCCCAAAAGCTTTAACTATTGATTTTTTTAATTTCTAAGACCTACATAGTTTGACATAATTAGATACTGACCTAATGGCTACCTAATGTGGAAATTTTGAAACTATTTCTGAGTCATTCAGTAGGTACGGAGAATAGTGAGTATGAGACGACAGTTCAACTAAACTTGTCACCATGTCCTGATTTTTCTTAAAGTATGTAAATTAATGTTTTTACCCGGTGCGCTCTATCCATTGTTCTCTGCTCTAGCACTATTCCATCATTAAGGGGGTTTTAAAATGTTGATCCTCAGGCCATACTCACCCCTTCCACTCCCAAGGTTTAGATTCAGTGTATTTCTTTTAATCAAGTTCCCCACATTAGTAGTTTCTATTTTTAATCAAGTTCCCCCAAATGATTCTAATGTGCAGCCGGGGCTGGGAAACTACTCTTTTATGTCCTGACACTCTTTCCACTAAGGCTCATATTAATCCTGATCATGTACGGAATGGACAGGAGGATAGAGGGTGAAGAAGTGACCGTCTACTCTTGCCTCCAAGGACCAGAGAGAGCTACTCTTCGTCTTTGAGGCCAGTTCTGAGCAAAATTTCTGTGGCTCACATTATGCCTAGAGAATCACAGCTTAAAGGAGAACTTGGTGTGCGAGCACAGCCATGCTGGGAGGCTGACCTCTGTGCTAGAATTAAATGTCCTCTCCTGAAGTCACTCGGATCCTCTCCAGTTAGTACAAGTTCTACAAACTCAGGGGGTGAAGGTTGTTCACAGTACACCTCACCTCCTGGATGTGTCTCATTCCTCACCTCTCCCAACTACTGTTTGCCTGTGAGAGGAATTTATAACCTGAATAATTTAAAAACAACATGAGAAATACTGATTTTTTTCTTTCTTCTAACAGATGCTGGGACTGGCTCAAGGATGTTTTGACTACACTATTCCATATACTAAAGAAAGGGTACAATTTGGTAAAAGAATATTTGAGTTTCAGGTATGTAATTATTAGTTTCTTTCTGCAGTACTGTACTCTCCCGTCTTCCTGTTAATGACGAGCTGTTTTATAAAGCCGTAGAGGGGATCCCCTCAGGGAGATTTCAGTGGGATAGGCGTAGGGAAGGAAGGAATGGGTCTCAGGGTGAGTTCTTGGGAATGCCTTGACCTCCAAGGGCAGAACAGTTGTCCTTGGGCCCAGCTGTGGCACAATCCAACTGTCGTGCTGAGCGCTTGAGAGCTGTGCTGTTTCTCGGTGCTTCATACGTTCCAGAGCACAGGGTGTGCAGTCAGACTTCTGGATTCAAATCCTGGCTTTGTTTTAACTAGCTTTAGGTCTTGTGCAAGTTACTTCAACTCTGTCAGCCCCAACCACCTCATCTGTAAAATGAAGATAATACTACACTCCCACTAGGGTGATTTTGAATCAGGTAGATGTGTAAAGTGTTTAACACCTTGCTTGAGTCTAATCAGTGCTCAGTAAATGGTAACACTTGTTATGAGCCCTCTGCTTAGGCCAGAACCATAAGGTAAATCCCCAAAAGACTACATTTTGACACATCTGTCTTATAAAAGGTACAGTTAGCTACAGTAAGTGCAAACGAGATGCTCTCAGCCAAGCATATTGGGAAGTACTGGCCTGGCCCAATGACATGGCTGCTTAGAGCTGCCCAGATAATCAGGGGATTCATTGGTGGCAGTGGCATTCTTCCAGTCCATGTTGAGGTCTTGTCAGGTTAGGGGAAGCCTGGAGTGACCACTTACCAAGCTTACTCAAGCAATTACCTCAAAGTCCAGAATTACAGTGTTTGCAAAACCTCCCTTTAGCAGCTCTGGGCTTTAAGTACAATTTCTTATTACCAACCTCATTATGCTGTGTTGTCTTAAAGTTCTGTAATAATAACTAGGCATCACGCAAGTATACACAAACGGTGTGTGTGTAGAGATCCCGGGCTGTGGGCAAGCACACATGAGGCAGTCCAAGGCTTAAGAGAGACTGACACATCCCCCTAGGGCCTGGCCAGGGCCTGCCGCAGCCCCCACTGTCATGGCCGTCTTACCCCTGGGATGCGAGCCCAAGGGGACTGGGTTCCAAAGGTCATGGAGCTTCTAGTAAGGCGTCAGAATTACAGGTGTTTGTCTTGGCTTCTAGTCTAGTTTTTACTTCATTATCCTAGTGTACCTGCTCAGAGCCAGCCACCACATAGACTGCAGTGAAAGGGACAGAATGTGAAGACAGTTTCGAGGGAGGCTTTTAATCTCCTTTGTCCACAGAAAGAAGTGTTTCCATGTATGTTGAGTTGAGAAAGGGAGAAGGTATAGTCATGGCATTTCTATAGATGCATCATATGGGTAATTAAAAGAAAACTTTTAGAAATTTTATCTTAAAAAGCAACATTATTAATTTTACTATATTTATGCAAAGCTTTGAGTAAGGTTAACATAGTTTTTTGTAGTTGCTTTAAATCTCATTAGAGTGATTTGCTTTCTGCTTTGCATGCAGTTGTTCATATCTTTCTCTTCTCTAGACTACAGGCTCCTTAAGGGTGGAGACCAGGCCTCTTCCTCCTTATCTCTTTCATTTTTTTACTGAGCAAGTTCTGCATGCCAGGCCCTGTACTCACAGTGTCATTAGGGAGCCAGTGTTTGGCCATGCTGAGTTCCTATAGGGCAGGAGACTTGCCGGAGTTGCTTTTCTGCTTCTCGTGGTGCCTGACATGGTCACTGGAGTAGACAGCATGGATATCGACTTTTGGTTTAATTGAACTGAATGTGCTTTTCAAAAATAATTAGATTCTCTGCATTCCACATAACAAGCCGTAAGCAGTTTCTGGAACAGTGATATTATTCGCATTGGCATAGACAAATCGACTGATGGAACAAAATAAAAAGGCCAGAAATAAATTCATGCAATGTATGCAAACTTGTTATAGGATAGAGATGGCATTGCAGATCATTGAGTGGTGGGAGTATTTTTTCTTTCCTTGCAGAAAAAATTAAACTGCATCCCTACCTCACACCATACACAGAAAATAGATTTCAGGTGAATTAAAGAGATAACATAAAAAGCAAAATTACAAGTTTTAGGAGAAAACATAGGGGAATATCTTTATGACCTCATGGAAGGAAAACATTTTGAAAACAAGACACTAAAAGAACAAACTATAAAAGATAATAAGAATGGCAAATTCGGCTACCAAGTTTCTTCTCCTCAAAAGACGTCATAAAGTAAAAAGACGAATCATACGGAAGAAGCTATTTGCTCTACAAAGAGGTTAGGGTGTGTTCAGTTTATTATTCTTCATAAGTTAGATACATGTAACATAGTCTTTTTTTGTATGTATCAAATGCTACAGAAGGAGAAGAATCCATAAAATATTTGTGAATGCTACTATTTTTCTTCAGTGTTTTTGTTTAGGAAAGGTCAGCCCCAAATTATTGAGTAATTGCCTTAATTGAGGTTCCCTGGCTTGCATTCATCACACAATGTCGTAATTGTTTGGCTATCTGTTCTCCCTGCTGAGCTGCATAAGTCATAAGCACAAGGCTACTCTGCTTGTAACACTGAGTGTCGTGTCTCCATTACTCAGCACAGTGCCTGGCCTATGGTAGGAGCTCAGTAAATATCTGGGTAGATGGATATATTAGGCATCAGAAAATATTCAGTTGTAATAAATACATGTATGCCCATATAGGACTTTATTTATAAACTGTTAATATTCAAATGCTCATTCCTTTCTTTGACAAGCATTTAGCTTATGCCTAATCGCCCTCTAAAATATCAGAGTAGAAATGACTTCTTTAGAGTTTATTTTTTCTTTTAAAGTTATTCTTCTGTTTTCTGTGACCCTAAACAAATTGGTACCTTTTCATGGATATTGCAGTCAAGTCACTTCAGTAAAGTTATATAAAGAGAAGTGGTGCTTCAAATATTCTTTCATTACTTTGCAGCTAATATCCTCAAATGCCTTAAGGCTATATGCCAAACCAACCCTTTTGTTACAAGCAAATAAAAAATGTATTCAAATTTTTGCTTTGCTGAGATTCAGTTTAAGCCCACTTGTGATCATAAAAGGGTTGAAAAATAATTATTAAATGAAACAGTTAAATTTCTAAGTCTAATTTTGTGTTAGTTTATTTTTTAAATCTTGACGATCATAAGCACATGAACTTTGATGAACATTTTCTACAAAGCAATACATGTAGTGTCATATTCCATTTTAGATTGCAGATCTTAAAGTATTTTTACAAAATGAATGTGAATTTCCTGTTTCCTTTGGGGTGTATTTTGACTCTTGGTGTCCATGTCCTGGCAGGCCTTGGAGGGTCAGCCGTGCTTCAGGAATCCTAATTCTCTAACTCGGGCCTGACCATTACAGGGGCTCCAACACCAAGTGGCCCACGTGGCCACCCAGCTGGAAGCTACAAGGTTGCTGACGTACAACGCTGCTAGGCTTTTAGAAGCTGGACGGTCCTTCATAAAAGAAGCATCTATGGCCAAATACTATGCATCAGAGGTAAAAATAATAATAATAATAATAATCGGCCTTTTTTTTCCAGATATGTATTTATATTAATCTTTTCACTTAGGAATGTTGGTTGAGTATTTGTTTGTTTTCAAGTAGAGTAACGTGGGCTTTCTAGTTCCTACAATAGAAAAGCAGAAAAGTAGTTTCCCCAGGAAAGTGCTCTAATTCTGTGAGGATTTAGTGTCTTTCACAGGACCGTAAATGGAAACTGAGTCACCCAGTTCAGGTAAAACAGCCATCACATCCCTGGGTGGGCCTCATCTCAATGATGGCATGACATCTGTGACCTCACGCTGGGGAAAGTGATGCCATGGGAGGTGGTGTGATGTAAAAACCCCAGGAAGGGCTTGTCCATAGGCCACTTCCTGTGCGTATATATGCATTTGATATTCTATGCATTTGACTTTGGCTGGGAAGCCTAGCCAGATCGCTGGGCTGCGATATCCCAGCCTCGCAGTGTCTTATTCATCCTTATTCTTCTTACTCATTTTTATTCTTATTATCCTGCCTCACCCTCCCTTCTAAGCTCAAGACAGGTAGACCTGATTTCCCCTTCGGCTGCCCACCCGTTCTGCCAGCCAGGGACCTGAGAGCCATTCCAACGCCCGCCTCCCTGCCCCACCCCCCACACCAAATCTGTCTCCTGTTCCTGAGGATCCTACCCCCAAATACTGCCTGAATTGATGGATTCCCCCTTTCTGCCGCCACCTTCTAGCCCAGGCTGTACCATTTCTCCACCGAGCTGCTGCCCTCACTTCTAACCACTCCACTGGCCCCTGATGCTCCCTCCAAATCAGTCTCTCTGCCTTTTCATGTCCCTGAGGCCATGCCACTCTCCAACTTTAAACCCTTCAGTGGTGTCTCACGACAAACGAAACAAGATTTGCATTAGTTTCCTATTGCTGCTTTTAACAAATTACAAAATCTCCGGTGGCCTAAAACAATATGATTTTATTATCTCACAGTTCTGGAGGCTACCTGCATCCTCGACTTGTGGCCCCTTCCTCCTTCAAAGCCAGCAGTGTAGCGTGTTCAAATCTCCGACGCTCCCTCCTGCCCCCTCTTCTTTTACAAGGACTCTTGTGTGACTTGGGCGCATTCCGACAATCCAGGAGAGCCCCCCAGCTCGGAGTCCTGAACTTTATCACATCTGCCAGTCCTTATCATCATATATGGTAGCACACACGTTTACGGTGGCTGGGGATTAGTATGTGGCCATCCTGGGGCTGTGACAGCGTTCATCTGCTCACCATCCTGAGGACTGCCCGCCTCTCTCCCCAACTCACCCTGATCCCAGCCCTCTGGCCCTCTCGGGTCCTTGAGAAACCCATTTTCCCCTTAGGGCCTTTCCATGTGCTCCTCAACTTGAAATGTCCCCTAATGCCTCCGTTAGGTCTCAGCTGAGCTGCAGCTTCCTCACGTGTTCCCCCATCTCAGTCCTGCCACAGTCCTGGCAAGGTCTTCCTTCACCCCATGCCATTTATCAGTCTCTGTGATTGGAGGGCTACTGTGTGTCTGCAGACGACCCCCAGGACCAGAGGGGCAGTGAGCGGCCACCACCCACACCATCTGCCCACTGGTTAGCGCAGCGTGAAATATAAAGCTGGCCCTTGATAAATATTTGCTGAATAAATGATCCCTGTTAGCAAGTGTATGTGTCTCAACAATACCCTTATTTTCTTAATAGGAATCTCGTGAAGTAGTATTTTACATGACCGGTGGAGAGAATGAGACTAGAGAGACATTGCTAGTTGATAAAATAATTTCAATCTTTCCACTTGCCAATAGCAGTGAATCCAGGTCACTGAAAATACTCCTCCGGAGCACTGACAGTGTGTGAGCGACGTGGCTTCACCATGTGATCTGCTGCTTATTTTGACAGATTGCAGGGCTAACAACTAGTAAGTGCATGGAGTGGATGGGCGGAATAGGCTACACCAAAGACTGCCCCGTGGAAAAATACTTCCGCGATGCAAAGATCGGTAAATAGATTTTTAATATTTTACTTTGTTTTATTTGCCTCTGTAGCTGTTTGGGCTATTGTATTTGGTTGATTTGACACCCTGGTACCTAGGCAAGGGCTATTTTAACCTCCTCAGTATTATGTTTATTGGCTCCCTTCTGTGGCTGAGTTTTTTCCCCCATCTCTTCCTTTTTAAAAAATGGATTTATATTTTTAAAAACATTAAATTGCCTTTTTAAATGCCTCAACAAGCCTTTTAGTAAAACTGCAACAAAATCTACTCTCTTGATTTTTCTTTGTCTAAAAATGCGAATATTTTTATTAGTTTAGTGCTGTCCTATGAAGGCAAATTCTACTTTCAGAAGCTAAGTGCCTGATCAAGCCTGAGTGTGTGAATTCCAAACAGGAAGATAGAAACTCAGCAGCCCCCAAAGCTGCCAGTCTCTGAGCAACAGTCCAAGCTTATGCCTTGGAGTGAAAAAATTACTGTTTAATATTGATTCTGGAATCAGAAGCCAATTCCCAAATGAAATAGTACCATCCTTTAAGCAAAATTCCTTTATCAAGTAGCACCATATTCAGGAGACACTGAATGTTACTGATATCAGTTTTACACCAAATACAGGAGTAGTGGTTATAGAGTGAATTCTGCATATGTGTCTTCTCCTGACTGTTCCTTTTGCTCCCTTTTGTTTAAGGTACAATATATGAAGGAACTTCAAATATCCAACTGAACACCATTGCAAAGCACATCAGCGCAGAATACTGACCTCCCTACGAAGCACCGATATCACTGGTATAAAATGTTAAACTATTGTGCCTTGTTGCGAAAGTGAACTTCTACATGCAGTATTCTGTGTAAACCCTCAGCCCTGGTTCTTGGGGTAGAACTTTTCTGTCTTATCTTTCTAGTCTGAATAACTTAGGCACAGGGAATCATTTTTAAAATTTAGGAAGAAGTGCATCCATATTTTCTCTAAAGCTATTTTTAAATCTCTATATGTAGTATCACTCAAGTTCCAGGGCTTACAGAAGTTTCACTCCATCAGCATTTGGAAAAATAAAGATATTTGAAGTAGAATTTACAGAAATAGCTATTTTATTTTCCTATGAAATCTTAATTTTGTGGCATCAATCAGAAAGATTTGTTACGGTTGACAGTTCTATTGAATAGACAAATCTGTTGAATAGACTCAACACTAAGTTACCAAACTAGGTAGAAACTGAGTTCCAAAATATCTGAGAGTGGGTAGAAGATAAGAGCATAACCCTGTAAGTTGTACAATTGAAGAAAACATTATTTTAACAAAGTGAATCAATATTATTTGTTACTGTAATTGATTTATGTAAGAAATGTAATTTCGTGATGGTTTCAGCAGATTGTTTTAAAAATAAGTCTACATTAGTTTTCAAAAATAAAGTTCACATAATTGGTTTAATAATCAGAATGTATTCAGTATTGAAATACTCATTTTATCATGCACTATTTTTCAACAATTTCTTTGTGTATTTAAATTGAATAGTGTTTCTACAGACTTAGTTATCAGGCGTTCTCATGAATAGTAATTCAGAAATAATGTTGTGGTGCAGTGATTCTCAAGAGAGAGAAGTATTGCCACTGCAAAAAAGAATATCAAAATCTTGTTCAGAATGAAGGATCAAAGGGGCTGGCTGTAGGGTTCGAGAAAGCCTATTTGGTGATTCAAAAAATAATATAAAAATAATTTTTTATCTGGGAAAGCAAAAGTAAATCTATTGTGTACAATACAAATTATAGAAAGGCGAAAATCAACCAGATACGTAGCTGGTGATGCCCTTTCTTCAGTTTTAGGGATTCTTAATCAAGAGAAGAGACTCCCCTTGGGTACAGAGCCTGAGCCCCCTGCAGGAAAGTGGGCAGGGGAGTGAGAGAGAGTTTTATATTTCCTGAGAAGGCAGTGTGGGTTAGGGATGTCGGGGAATGTGCCAAGGTTCAGGTTCCCTGCTGTTGAATGGGAAGCATTTTTGTACATAAATGAAAGGCTCATGTTGATTAAGAAAACATGACATTTTCAAAGTATCTTTGCACATTTGTGTTTACTGAGTTAGGCTACTTTCTGTAAAGCAAATCATGGTGAAATATTCAGAATTGTGTAAGTACAATTGAGATAAAAATTACATTAAAATACTAGAAAGAAATAAAGCCAGATTTAAACCTTGGATCAAAAGAGATGAAGTCTAATTGACTTTCACATAGAGAGATGATAGAAACCCACTCATTCAGTCTTTCAGAAAGAAAGGAGCAATCTGATAATAAAAATAAAGAATGGATGAAACACCCTAAAAGAGGGTTGGACATCCTCAATTTTTGTGACTGTGTGAAAGAGATGGACTTTACAGTAGTGGCACACAAGCAACTTTAGTGAAAAAAAAAAAACATCCCAACTTCTTCCTGTAGAATTAGAAACACTCAAAACGACAGCAAGCCTCACGTTCACCCTGGCAGCACTGGGGAATCTGTCTACTTCCAGACCTTGAATTTACATTCAGTGTTGATAAAGTTTCTTACTGTGTGTGTATTGTGCATGTTCACAAAGAACAGCTGAAAGATAATTAAATATTATAGTTAATACACATACCTACCTTTTTCTGTTACCAAATCGTTGTGTTATTTACCATTTACCAAAGGAGATATTGTGGGTTTCCTCTGCATTTCTTCCCTTTCAGCTTTTCTGGCTGACCATGACTTTGGGGTCTTTAAAACTATCTCTCTTGAGTTCATGTTGAGTGGAGGATGAACTCCTTCGTCTCCTGAAGCCTCTCATCATTGTTTGTTAATCTGAGGGTTGGGCTGTCACGGAATTCCAGGTAGACTGGACAAACATCAAGGAACCCACTTGACTGTATTTGTGTGGACAGCTGGACTCAACCCAACTGCCACGTTAGTATCATTAGAGATTTCACTTTACAACACAGAAGTGCATCAGTGTCCAAGATTTTTAAATAACGGGGAAGTTCACCTAGAAGACCTGAGAGAACCAGCCAGCCAGCTCTCTCATTTTTGAAGTGAAGGATTTATAGCCCAGGATACTTGCCCAAGGGCAGCCACCAGGGACAAAGACGAGTTAAGAATCCAAAGGTACTAACTCCCAATTCTGTGCTCTTCTTTTTTAATATCATCTCTGTTCAACAAATTTTGGATCTCATCCTTGTATTTCAGTATTATATGGAGAACGAAAAAATAAAGCACTAAGTTAACTGGAGACTTTTGCTACTCAGATAAAGCAAAATTGCTGCACATACAGATGAAGTAAGAAAGTAATGTCACCTTCCTGCAAGGTGGGTACGGCACCTCTGTGTACCAAGCTGACCGCTTGCCTCTCACAAGCCAATTTTATTTTTCAGAGAAGAGGTCTAAACAATGCAGACCAACTTGAAATTCTCGATGCTGAAGAAGATTTTATCAGAGGACCCCCTTTTTTTTTTTTAAGCAAAATAAGCAGCTCCTCGGTAGGAAGGTCACCTCTGTTGAGTGCGTCTTCCGGGTACAGACCAGACTTGCTGATGTGAGCAGCTGTGCTCTGTGGTCCTTCTCCTCCTGGAATCTTTATGTGGTCACACCTTTTACTCAGTGACGTGCTCTAGTCCAACGCCACAGGAGACTTCAGCCTGTCCGTCCCCTGTTATTTCCATCATTATTGTAGGAATCTAGTCAGCAGCCCCTCTTCCACTTTGCCTTGCAGTGACGTGTGCCTGGCATTCAGTGTGTCCACAGGTCTGCGGCGCTGTGGGCTCCAAGCTGTGGCAGAGAGATAGGATCCTTAGCAAAATCAGGTTCATCTCCGATGTCTTTTTTCTGTGCTCATCAGTGCATCCTCACACAGAGACACAGCAGAGAATAACTGAGGCCGACCCTATGCGGAAGTATTTGTTTAGATCCATGAGAATGATAACAGTCACACCAGCATCGCCTGAGCTCTTACCACATGCCACTTGTTATTCTAGATGTAATAACTCACATCAACTATCCATAGAGTCGGTGTTCTTGCTACCCTGTTTTACAGGCAGGGAGACTGAGGCTCGGAGACGTTAAAGTTGAGTGAGATGCTAATTGACATGTGATAGAAATGGTTCACACTCAGTCAGGCCAGGGAAGGCCTCCTAGATTCACTCCTTTGGGTCTTTAAAGTGTGTTCATCCTCAGGAGCCTTCCAGTAAAATGCCACAAAGGAAACTTCTGCAACTTCAGAAAAACCACAAAATTTTATAGGCAGCGTCCACTGTACACAACAGGGAAGTAAATTAATAAGTAACAGGGTACAAAAAAGCTAACCATAATTTAAGTCACGTTGGTTAATTAGAAGTAAAATATAAATTACAAATTGTTGACAAAAGTCAACAGTCAATAAGAAGTCTGACTGTCCTGCTCAGCACTTCTGGGAGGACGGACAAGAAGGCGTGTCCATCCTTCCAGGGCAGTATAATTAGCAGTTTTGAAAAATCAGAAATGGCTAAGCAGGAGAATAAATCAATCATGGAAATACACACTCTACAGTCCTCTGCTGCAATTTAAAAGAATAAGATCCATGTACTGAGATTAAATCATTACCAAGTTATATTAAAGTAAGTTGCATGATATTTTATGCAGAACAGGACAAGCCTATGTATTTTGGTTAATCCAGGTGTATATATGAATTTGTAGAATAAACTCAAAGTATAGTTGCCACATTGGTTACTGCACGCTGCACTAGGAGCCTGTGCTGGGATGAGGGTCAGAGAGGCAGCCACTGGCATCATCTATACTGTTTGAATTTTTATAGTGGGATATAATATATATAAATAGTTATTGTAATTAAATATAGTATTGCTTGTGTAATTAAGAAGAAATAAAGCTACCTGTAAGGTTACTGAAATTTTTCCCCTTTTGGGCATTGCATCATTTTCCCATTAACTGATTTTTCTGCTTTTGTCAAATAGTCAAGGAGGCAGCTCTAGTCAGGGGCACAGGAGCTTAGCGTGTGACAGGGAGAGGACCAAAAGGGACTCTGAAACCTCATCTGTTGGAGGTTTGGCCTCTGTGGGCAGCAGGCACTGACCGTGTGTGGATACCCACCCTATGCAAGGTTTGCCCATCTTGCTCCGTTGGTGGCACTTCACCGGGAGGGTTTCTCACATCCAAGTGCAAACTGGGCCATCTGCCCTGGCCTTGGGGTTAGCATTTTATCTTTAGTTGTAATTTGATTCTGTATAATTTGGCCTGAGGTATTCAAACAATATTTCCTTGGACTTGAAACATCTGTTTCAAGAAAAAAAGAATATTCAGATTTTCCACTTAAGTCAGAGGACCAGGTCCGTGGTTTAAATCGGATGGGCGAACTGCCCTGCGGGCCGATCAACCCACTGCCTGTTGCTGTTAAGAGGAGCAAACTAAAGTTTTTTTCACATTTTAAGTGGTATGCAAATAATGTACATAATATCCTCAATTATGCCTCTTGCCCACAATGCCTACAATATTTACTCTCTGGCCCTTTAGGGGAAAAAAATTGTCAACCCTGGATTAAATTATTGCCAGATTTTTTTTTTTTTTTTGCTGAGGTAGGTCAGTCTCCATGTCACACCAAAAAGAAAAAAAGAAAAGCCCTCCACTAGCAGGAACTTGGGCCATCACTCCCTCTTCATTTCATCTGTAGCCAGTCTAGCCTGACTGGCCCCCTCTTCCAATCTACCTAAGTGTTTAGGTCCCCCCATTCTGAGAAAATCAGCTTCCTGTGAGCCGCTGCCCCTCAGCGCTGAAAAGCCACAAGATGGGTGCGGTGTCTGCTCCTTTAATCTCTTAACCTGCCCTTCACTCTGGTCAGCGGACTTAGTGTTCTCAAAATTTACCTTTCTACCCTTAATTGGCAGCCTGCTGTCTCCATCCCAGACTCTAGTTGTGGACACCCGTCTTCACCCTGAGGCTCAGTGCTTCCTTGGCTTTTTGACAGAACACCCCTGCTTTTGGCTCACTCTTTCGGTCTCTTTTCCCTAAAATGGAAATTCTACTGTTTATCAAGATTCTGCCATTGCACCTCTTGTATTCTCTGTGCCGGTGTCTACCCTGCTTCAGAATGACTTTGAGAGTCTTAAAAGTGCGGACTAGAACACCGTTCCCAGAATTTCCTAATCGTTAGATGTTTGTTTCAGATCTGCCAGGCAGCATATCCCACGGTCTCTTAGAAATTTATGTCTAAAATACAGGAGGATTATGGTGGATGATAGACATCTAGAAGTCTTACATAGCTACTAACGGTGTAACACATGAAGCCTCCAGGAAGAGTGGAACAGCCATCTCCCGGGCCTGGGGCGGCTGGCTCTCATCACCTCAAGTCCTTGTAAAAAGGCAGATCTACCCTACCAGGCAGATCATTGGCCTGGAGCCTGGAATCTGCCTGTGTCAGATTGCCCCAGGGGACTTTCATCGCACAGTGGAACTTGGGTACAGTATCCAGATGATCAGAGTCCACGTTCCTCTGCAGCTTCCTCAGTTCCCCAGTGTAGCAGGACCAACTCAGTAAACCCTGGACCTCCCTAAACACCCACCTGCTTAGAGGGGCAGTGGCAGAAGGAGTGAGCAGGACACCTTCCCCTTCATCCAGTGAGTTTGGAGGTGCTTAGCTCAGTACAGATCGCCACGCATCGTGCTGGGGAGTGCTGTTCACCACGCATTCTTAATGTGCTGTTGAGAAGCTCCGCACCATTTCCCTAGTTGTGTGGACCCAAAGCAACTTAGGGCGATGTGTTCATCACAATTCTCCCACCCTAGAAGAGAAGGCTCAGTGGGGCTTGATTTAATGTAGTCTTACCTTTATTAGCAAAAGAGTTAATGAAGAAACTACTCATAAGTTAAATCACCTTAGATTTGGTGTTTTAAAGTCTAATCATTTAGAGAGAGATCATTTTTTCCCTCTTGTATATGTAAACTAACAAAGTAATCCCAGAGTTGTGAGGTTTTGTACCTTTGGAGGACTAGGGAGTCTGAAGAGGGTACATCTGCTTGAATGGACACCCCCTTTGCGTCTTGCTTTATTTTGCACGTGGATGTGTATCAGAAACCTATCACTGTATAATGTATGTATAGTTCCTCTGCACATTAATACTCCATCTTTTCAAATTGATTGATTTTTCCAAGTAGACAATGGCTAAGGATCTGCTTATTGATTGCAGCTAAGCTCCTTTTAAGTGTATTTCGTAATAAAAGACATTTTGAAGTTGAAATAATCCTGCTCTTGACCAGTGGATAAGAAGTCTTGGGAGTTACTCAGATTGAAATGTACCAATATCATAACAATTGCCAGATATAGAAAGGTGTGGGGGTTTCTTTAACACTAAAAAATTAGACTCTGCTCATCTACATCATCATACACTCTCGAGACCGGTCATCACTGTGTGGACATTTATGCTGTCTTTGGTTTAACATGTCTCACCTCAGTTGACCCAAGTTCATACAGATATTTGCCTCATTTCAGCTGGTTTTTTGGTCTGAAATTTCTACAGGGCCTAAGCAAAGCAGGGCCACCTCTAGAAGAATAGAAATTTCAAGGTAAGTTTACTTCATCACCTCCAACTAGATGATGAAGAACCTGAATCTAAATTAAATACTGCAGCTTTTACCACTGGCCCCTTAGAGGAAAGAATTGTACCATATTATGCAAAAGCCAGGACATTCCCCAGGCATCTAAAAGGACCATCTCTTGAAAGAAAATCCTCATCGTTCTTGTGACTGTCTGGCAGAAAGAGGCCTCAGGGTTGGTTGGGTGGCTGGTTGGTTTTGAGGCTTTTATGTTATTTCTTTGAAGATTCATTTCTCGTGTGTTCCTCTGAAGTTATCCTAAATCCTTAACTTCTAACATTTTTTGGCCCCTAGTTCCTCTACCATTTTTACTACTTAAGTTAGTGGGTTTCTTCTCCAAGACTGCATGGTAATTTCAGCGTGCCCTATGCCACACAGAACACCCGACTCCTTCCGCATCTCTGCAGGTGCCCTCTGAGCGCTGAGCAGGCCAGCCTCCTGTGTTCGTGGGCCTGTGGCTAGCCTACAGCGGGAGCCTCAGCTCTGATCTTACTGTATTTACCAGT